AGTTACATATTGTCTGGTTGTGGAGGCTGGTGACCTTGATCCTTAGAGATGGTGACTACCAGGAGTGAAGCGCAGGCCCCCGCCGCAAGTGAGGAGATACCACATGACCATCTATTCAAAGTCACCGGGCTGTCTTCTACGAATTTAGAAAAGATGGCACAAGGTAAGTGTTTTATAGTTTCTAAAAAAGTGGACAATTCATTCAAATTTTTTCATCAATTTACGTCTTTAAAATAAGGAATAAGAATTGTTAATTTCTAGACATAGACACAACAACTGCTTTCCTATTTTTGAATAGTCCAAAAAATATTTTTTTTTTCTGCACTAATTTTAAATCAACTAATAACGAAGTTAGGACGCGTTGCATATGTCATAAAATTTAGGTTATTCATACTTTAGTCTATAACATTCAAATATTATCACATACTTAGCGTAAAGCGATGTCTATGAAATTAAATAGTCGTGTACAAAGTAATTGAATTGTGTGATAGTTTCCCGATCTCATTGTTGCGACTGTGCGGTGACGTCATGCGAGTCTGTGACGTCATCTCACTCACTAGCAGATATTTGTTCAGCCTAAGCCGGTATCGCTTCCTAGGACAACATACTGAATCAACTTGTCTGTCATTTTGTATACACTTTATGTAAGTAAATATGCTAACCGAAATTATTACAATAATGTTTAATAAAATTGGTTAAATGTTTGAACCGAACTTTCAACAATAATTAATATTCGGTTTAATCAATATTTAAAGACAGTATTTTCTTATTTTCCTAAGAAAGCATATTTGTAAAGAAGAAATATTCTTAATTTTCGGGTTTTCCTTGTCGAAGTTTAACTTTGTTATTAATTTCCCCCATACGTTAATGTTTGAAAAACAAAAACATCCTGAACAAAATTTGTATCTAAGAATAACAACGTTACTCGTTACTTTACGGCAGAGAAAAATACTTCTTACTAAACACAGTATTTTAAATAGGTATGCGCGGTGGTAGCTTTCTTTTGACATGGTTTTACGAACATAACATTGTATGTACTAGATAGGCGAGGTAATTGAAAATTCATTGGAAATTTTTACTTATATATTTTAACTAAATTTTTATAATGGGATCGAAAATTGAAATGACCAAGCAGTATTTGTTTGTTCAGCACTGACCATTAAATGCGTCACAAATTTCTCTCGATCGTGCGATTTATCCCTCACTGTATTCCCGAATCGAAGCAAAAGCATTCCAAGAATAATAACGAGATGAAAACAAAATACGTCTCAGCGCGGTCTGGTCTGGGGCCACGCGAGGCTTTGGACTGCGGCCAACACTGCAGCGAGCCTGGGTGTCATGTCATTGGGCCTACACGAGGCCAGTGCGAATCTCGTGGTCTCCAGTCTCTGGTCTTTAATTTGATTTGTCTTTGGTTTTATGTCTAGTCTTGCTTGTTGCTTACTACCGAGAAAGTCCCAAGCTAAATATCAATTGATACAGTGGTATTTTTATTAGTATAGTTATTCTGATAAGTGATATATTTGCTTATATATAACGTAGTCAACTAGTGACTAAAAAGCATAGGGAAAAGTAAGATCATGGAAACCATAGCCCCTAATACTGCAACAAAATTTTTATCGACAATAATTGAATTTCTTTGTGGAGCTTTTGTTATATTTATCAATTTATTTCCATAGTAATAAGACTGCAAATTCATCAGGAGCTATTGGTTATTTTGCTATATTGTCAGAGCTTGTACATCTAGAATGAAATGGCACATCACCATTATAACAATTTATCGTATGTTTGTACCGCGCGGTATTTATAGTTGACGAAATGTGCGACCTTGTCTCCATTGTAAAACTGAGAAGTACGCCGCTGTTCGTAGGGAAAAGTGCGTCAAAGCTTTTAATTGACTATGAACTCTAATTTATAGCCTGCTATTGCTGCGTCCCAATTATTTCACGCCCGTTAAAAAAAATCGTATCGTTACGATTTTATGCGAGTTTCAGGATTAGCAAATTTGTTTTTGTTCGGGATTTATATAAAAAATATAGTTTTCTCTTGTTATCTAACAAAGTGGCATAGTTTTTAATATTTCTATCTGTTATAGTAGAATTAGGTTAAAGAGTTTAAGCTTGTTTTTGTCTACACATAGCACTACGCCTACCGCACACCTGGGGTACCTTTGTCGACGGTCCATATATTTTTAGCGCGCTCCAGACGGTAAACTCAACATCTGCATTTAAAAGCCAATAAATATTTGAAGATATAATCACCGGCACAAATAATATGGAATGCGCATTTTGCGTCACACTTTATATATTCGCAGACATTTAAAACTTTAATTAGTATTCGCTTAAAGATTTATCTTTGTTAATATGTTTATAATAAAAACCCTAACTCTAAACTGAAAAATTCAAAAGCACCACAGCGTGGCAAAAATCCACCAAGACATATCTGTCTGGGGGGAGACCACACCTCTCCGCTTTACACTTCCAGAAAATAATATCAATCTTATTATGATCTTTAAATCCGCAACCAAAAAGTCACTAAAAGTGGAATAACACATTTGCTATTCTATCATATCTGATTGTATGACTTGCAGAACCAGCGGCAGACTTCGAGGAGGCGATCGCGGCGACTGGTTATGGTGGATTCAACATCGCATTGCTGCTTTGCACACTACCCGCCTTCTGGAGTGCTGTGTCTGTCACCAGCTCTGTGTCTTACATCTTCACGCGCGCTCAGTGTGATATGAACCTTAGCCTGTTGGATATGGGCACTGTCAACGCAATTACATACGGAGGTCACTTCATTTTTATTTTTAGGAGCTATTAACCGTATTAATGTCATTTAAATAGCCATAAACTTTCCCAAAAAATATTTATATTGAGTAGGAAGATAGGAAAAAAGATTTACTTTTCGCTGTCAGTTACAGAATTTAAATGTCACCAGTTTCACCAAGAATTGAATAGAAGGAAAACAAGAGATATTTATTGTCCAGGCATGATATCGTCGGCACTGGTGTGGGGCTTCCTGTCGGACACGCTGGGCCGTCGCCAGATCCTAGCCTGGGGTTTCTTCTGCTCCGGACTCTTTGAGATCGCAGCCGCCATGAGCCAGAACTTCACCATGCTGCTTATTACGAGATTCGCCAGTGGATTTTTGTGAGTTACTATAAAATAGTGAAATGAAACATCTTAAGTTTTTTTGGGGGTAGTAAAAAAGTACAAACAGCGCCATCTAGCTATCGATTTCTCTGTATAACCTTAGGGAGGCACTGTAAGGGAATTGCTTGGCGATGTCCCGTAATTAGTAAAAACTATGTGACAGATTTAACGGTCCATTTGCGGTGCTGATCTCGTACATAGCTGAGCTCCACCGCACGGAGCTGCGCGCGCGCGTCATCCTGCTGACCAGCCTGTTCTACACGATCGCTAATACCACACTGCCACTGCTCGCCTGGGCCATGCTTACACACACCTGGGACTTCCATCTCTTCAATGGGACCTTCGGTCAGTACATGCGATGCGGCATTCTCCAAAAAATCCATCTTAATATAAAATTTCATCTTTCAATATGTTTAAACTATGTATCTTGACAGCGTAGTATATTTTGTGAAGCTAACACACAGTATGTGATCCGTCAGTGATCCACTCGTGGAATCTATTCCTGCTGGCGACAGCACTGGTGCCGCTGCTGACGGGCCTGGCTTTCCTCTGCCTGCCCGAGAGCCCCAAGTTCCTAATGTCCCGGGGCCGCAACGCCGAGGCTCTGGAGGTCTTCAGAAAGATATACAAGATGAATACCGGGAAATCGAAGGAGCAATTTCCAGTAAGTTCTACGAAAGCATAGTGAAGTAAAAACAGAAATTTCTGTTCTTTAACAAAAGCAGTGTGACTTCTAGGTGACACGACTTGTAGAGGAGAGGTCGCAAGAGCAAGGGCGCGGGGTAGCGGCACTGCGGGGCGGGGCGGCACAACTGGCACCCCTCTTCCGCCCCCCACATGCGCCCTGGCTGCTGTTAATGTGCACGATACACATGGGATGCATGTTCGGGTACATTGAAATTACTTACTAGCATTTACTTCTTAGGTGTGAAAAATGATTCTTTTGTTTATCCAATATGATTGTATTTCTCTTCATTACTTTTGCCAACCTTATCCTTATTACTCTCAGGTCCAACACGATCCGGTTGTGGTACCCTCAGCTGGCGGCCATGATAGGGTCCGAGGAGAACGGCTCGTTGTGCTCAGCTCTGGCGCCGGGGCCGGCCAGTACAGGGCCCTGTGCGCCGCTGCAGCCAGATATGCTCACCTACCTGCAGAGCGCTATGGTGGGCGCGGGCTCCGTGCTTACGTACAGCATCGGCGGTGCTCTCGTTAATCGGTGTGCTATACTCTCAACTTATATATAGCCTATGTATGGGTAATTTCTGACTTGTTTTATGATACAGTTCCAGATGCAATGAGATTATCTTATTATTATAAACACCTACATTGTATATAAGCATTTCCAACACTTCAGATGCGGTAAGAAGGTGGTTGCGGGCCTGTGCGGCGTGGTGAGCGCGGGGATCATCGCGCTGCTGCCGGTGCTGGGCTCGGGCGCCGCTGCGGTGGTAGCCATGGTCACCGCAGCATTATCGTTCACCGCGCTCTGCGGCGCCTCGCTCTCCAGTATCAATGTTGATCTCTTTCCAACCTCATTGAGGTGAGGTTTGATGCTTTGAATAATTTACTTGGTTTGGCCAACTTAGCATGAAATCGTCATAGTATTAAGAAAAATAACTTACTTAACTTACGGTAAGTTTGGACTTTTGCTTTGATTTCTGCTGGGGGTTTATTTTATAATAAAGTTAAGTTGAACATCTAAGCAGTATTTAATTTTTTCTTTGTAAATTATTTTATTAGTAATACAATATTCTTTTCAGGGTAATGGCGATGGCTACATTTCTGATGAGCGGTCGCCTGGGCACCATAGCTGGAACTGTCATATTTCCAGCGCTCGTGGACTACGGCTGTCTTCCACCTTTCATTACAATAGCTGCCGTTTTAGCTGGTAAAATAAAATTCTGAAAGCCACTGTAAAATCTACCTTAATAAATACTTTTTGCTATTTATAAAGTGAGATTTTACTGTGGTGGTATTTACCACTTAGCTAAAGCGACATCTAGTAATCTATAGCAAAACTACCAAGTTTAATGTCTATCTCATTTAAATTCAAAATGTTTTAATAGATGGCGCTTATTTTTATTAAAAAAAACTTACTTTTGTAGTTTTTCGCATTTTAAATTCAAAAATTTATGTCAACTAATATTATCTAATTCTTTAAAAATATTTTTTTTCGCTTCAAAACTATCCATTCGAATTGCTAGAAATAAAACTTAATGGATAAAAATAGGTTTAATGTAATGTGACCACCAGATGGCGCTTAGGAAAACGATTTTATTTGTATTCTATTTTCAGCGTGCGGTTTTGGATGCTTCCTTGTCCCAAATACTACGCTCAAGAAACTGGAGTAAAAGCGCTTTAGGATTCACACACAGAGTGCATTCAAGTATAAAAATATATGTCAAGACAATGTTTTTTTGTAAATAATTTGTATAAAGTATAATTGCTATGTGTAATAAAAAGATAGGGTGAATAAAAACGACATAATTTTTTAAAAATATTCTCTTCTTTATTTATAATTTATTCATAACCTAATCTCATCCATCTCAGTCATTCACAACTTAACAATAAACCGGCGATTCTTGGAGAACGGTCGCTACCTACATAACATTGTGTTACAATAAAAAAGAGTTGCTTTCAACATATTTTAAACAATGTTGCTATTGGTATAAATTTTATTAATTTTGTTTTTTTTTATCTATCTTCGTTTTTAAGAAATAAATCAATTGTCTATGGTAACTTTGTGTATGAAAGATTTAAGATATATTATTTATCTTAACAAAGATTTGTTTAAAATATGTATTCACATTTAATTAAACGGTGTATAATTGTATACATGAATTTCATTTAGCAATTACATATTGAATATTATGAAGTATAAATCATTGTTAGAATTTTCAATTCATCGGATATACAAATCAAAATTATTTTGTTCTTAACTAAATATAATAAATTAAGAATAAATGAACGAACATTTTGTCATTGATACAAACATTTTCAAAACTCAATTTACTATTTTTCTATCAAAATTATGTACTTGCTGAGAAGTTATACAAAAGTTTAAACAATATTTTAAATAACAATAAATTATGTTTTGTTTTCGGATATGTTGTTGAATCAGCGACTTTTCCCAATCATTCAACATAAATGCTATATATTTATATATCTTTTTTTTAACATAATTTTGACGGATTTGATAGTTATAGTATAGCAGGTACTATATTGTTCTCCATACAATGTATGTATATGGAGCAAGTCCGCGCGGCCCGGCCCACGTCGTAAAGACAAAGCTAGAAATGTTCACAAAAGGACTAGAATGATACATCTTATTGTCAAATCACTTTGTCTAAAACCCCCTTAAATTCGAGCTTTCTCTTACATAATTGTATATACAACCACTCCTAAAACCGTCCAGTGAAATTGACAGATACCCTAGAAAATTTTGAGTCGTATTCATTAATTTTGAATACAAAAGGCACAGTTTGTTTTATCCGCTTTATTATCTATCTATTTTATATCGACGCATTGCACTATTTCCTTTAACATATCTAAACATTGGCAGATCTTTCTCAAATTATGAAAACTAAGAGAATTAATTACGGACTGTGACTCGCCACTAAACTACATTCGTAAACAAACACTAACAGTCCGCCGCGCACATTACCTCGCGATATTACAAAATTGTGTCAATTTGTACATAAAAAAATATAATAGTACTATTTCTACATCTTAAATAATTATAATGTTAACAGTAAGGCATATGTCATAATTATAAATAAGTAATTACAAATATTTATAGTACATATAACAAGTTTATGTACACAGTCTCGCGTTTATATTAAAGCCGAGTTTTATACACATTACACACACAGCTCAACGTGCCCCACGTGACCCACGTGCCCCACGTGCCCCACGTGACCCACGTGCATTCGTATAGTCCCACAACGATCCTGTGACAGTTTTTGTGACATTAACAGATTGACGCCTACAAGTTTTGAGGGATGCTGGTAAGCCAAAAGTTTCCTTATTTTCTCAGAAAATCGTTCAGTTCTCATAGCATATTAGCAATTTTTTTTACTATTTTTGAAATAACAACCTACATGTAAAACATCACGTGTAAATTTTTTTTGGAATTTTGAAATTATAAAAATGGCAACATTAAATTAACGAAGTGCCACTCTCTCATTGCTCAAAATATGTCGCTATCAAGATGATATTATTAGTTCACATAATTTCCGACTGACACAATATCCTCGTCGAACTATACATTAGAGCAAGTAAGAATATTAGCGACACGCCTCTTCGTAGTGTCATCGACAAAATGTGACTTTGAAAGAGATTTGTTGGTGTACTTTACGTCCGGTAGAGGCGCTGCATATATTGTAATACTTTTGGCGATGTCGTTAGAAAAAACGTTGTCACGAATATTCGTACTAGGCCCTCTATTGGCGGGATAACATATTAACGCGAACCGACTCGACGTTAAACCACTTTATGGCGAAAAATATGTCGCTCTCTACATGTAATACAGTTTCGACAGAAAATTTATTAATTCTGACTGGATCAAAATTAGTGTTAAAATTTTAACATTTACAACATAACATCTTAGTCGGTCCACGATTTTTGCATCTTGCATAGATATTATTTTAGAAACAAGAGGCTATACAAACAAATACTCGACAACTAAATTGGCGCATCCAACTTGAGCGAGCATTTCCCATCACCCAATGGTTGCAGCTATCAGAGGCTACTTAGCTTTGTGACCATTTTATAACTTCGCAAACAAATTACAATCAACTTTCTACGGTATGGGAGATAGGCGCGATGGTTTTGTTTTAGAAAAATATGTTTTTCTTTCATTCTAATTATACAAGAACATTAAAAGGCCTCTTGTGCATTAATGCTTGTCTGTAAGTTTGTATGATAGCTTGTATGTATGTGTATGTAAAACTTGTGACTAGCACACATTACACGAATGCGTGTGCGCAACTCCAACGAACTTCATACAAATAACGGACAAAATATACAATTTCGTTGTTTTGTTTCTGAGAAAAATAATTACATACAAATGTAGCAAATATTAAACAGTCAACAACAAGTCCAACACGAACGTTTTGAAATAGTTTCCCAAATGTAAAGAGAAATCATTGAGAAACGTGAACATAACACGACATTTAAGCTCTCATTGCGGACAATCTCCGATTTGTTAAATAAAACCACTGACAAAATAACGATCGTGTTACGTTCACTTTCCCAACACACAACAATAAAAGTTCACAAAAATCCGTCCGTCCTGCAAACACTTCACTTCACTGCCCACCCCACATCTGTCGCCACCACGTAGTACTTCAATATCACATACTTTAATTGCTCGTTTTGTAAACAATAAATGCAGTTATATTTAAGGAGGACCACCACATCGCACTAAGCGTCCTTGGGTCAGCTGGGCGGCGCGAGCAGCACTTCCAGCCAGCACGGGCAGGCGGTGACGTCACGCCGCGAGTACTTGGGCCCCCAGCCCTTGGCGAACGAGATGCGCACCGAGCGAGGGTCCACGGGGCCGAGGTGCGGCAGCGCCAGTGCTGCGGGCGCGGGCGGCGCGCCGGGGTCGAACACGCACAGGCAGTGCGCGGGCGGCACGCGCCACACGAGCAGTGCGCGCGCAGCCGCCGCGTCCAGCGCGGGCGAACTTACGAACACCGGTGCTTGGCTGCGATTGTATAGCCACACACCGTCGCCCTCCAGCGACAAAGTCACGCCCAGACCGATCTTAGCTCGTGTCTTACGCACCTGCAAATAACACATACAATTGCAATACACCATACACAACGAAAAGTAAAAGAAGAACAGAGTTACCTACTCAGAATACTCTGTCTTAATTTTAACTTAGATGTCAGTTAAGCAGCTTGAAAGATAATAGCGCAATGGTACAAGCTTGCTGAGATTATAAGCATTAGCTACTGCACGAAAGTACAAGCATTGTATCAATTCAGTGTTAGCTAAATTAATCTTGAGATAAATAACTTCACCTTCCAAATCCTAACGAATAAATCAATGTGGTAAATAAGAGTTATAGCACGTAGAAGTGTTGGCAACAAGCAACAACAGTATAGCGACGATGAACGAGCGCTCGCCGCTCAATTGATTTGCGCGCGCGCAGATAACCTGATGACATGCGATACGCGCCGCGCCGCCATCGCCACGACATCATTATTCACTAATAATATGACTAAAACTAGGAATGAGGACTCTAGTTTTTTATAGTTCAGCCCAGCCCAAATCAATATTTTGTAACTCCAAACGAGTGAAAGACATCGTAAGTTTTTAATTTTTAGCGTTATTTATGATTCAAAGTACATAATAATCTGCTGCTCCCATGAGAAATGCTCTGCCATTTCTATGTGGATAGCTTGAAACAGTGTGATGCATCAACACTAGTTTATGTTTGACTCTGCTCTTTGTTACTAATTAATCGTTTTTCGTTTTTCAAATTAAATAAATTCACCAATGATTTTCCTGTTTGTATTTAAATACTCTTATAAATCTGTTGATTTATTTTTCATACAAATACATACATTGACAAACAAATGACTGCTGTAACGTTTGTTATTAGATTGTTTTTATTTTTATGATAACCGCTTTATTGACGTCACATTTTATTATCAAATGCAATACTTTATGTATATAAAAGGGGGTGGTGAATGATATTATGTTGTTTACGTGCCATGACACAAGTTGTCACGTAGCCCGATTAATTTCTACGTCACTGGGGGGCACTGGTGTCGCGAATGTGTCGCGGCGGACGGCGGGCACAATCGGCGGACAGATAAAGTGGCGATATGGGCCGGACTCGTCACGTACGCTGGACACTACGTGGATCAGGGCACGTATTCCACGTGTCTTGACGTAAGCCGATCGCGCTTGCAATCTATTTCCGAACACCTCGCACGTCAAAACTAAACATGATCGAAATGTCTCCGACGTAAATATGCAATTTGATCAATATATACATTAGCCTAATATCTAATCTGCCAACGAGAAATGTAAACACCAGCTTGCTTGTACCATTGTTGCACCAATTACCCTACGTTTATAATAAGTTAATAAAAATGTACATAACAATTGCTTTAAATATCTTGGTCAGTTCTTTAGGTAGTGTGGAGCATGCTGTTTAATCTTTATTAATTTAGAAAACATTATATTGTTTGTTGTTACCTGTTCAGGTTGCGGTGCGTCGTTGCGAGCGTGGAGGGCGTCGAGGCAAAGTCCGTGCCTGCCCGGCGCAGCGTCTCCACCAAACACGTCTACTGCGCGCACGCGCACGCCGTGCTGCCGGCCCACGCGCCGCGCCAGCTCCCAGTATGCTAGCCGGCACCACTCTGCCTCCCAGCTTGGCCGCTCTGCAATACAAACACATCCTTGTTAAATCCGCTTGTTGGAGCATATACTAGAGACTAGATGTTTCCCGCGACTCCGTCTACGCCAAATAAAAAAAAACCTAATTAGCATCGAGCCCTTCAAGACTTTAGAGAATAGAGTGTTGTCACAGAAATACATCTGTAGTCTGTAGGTGTAATATCCGCGCTACATTACAACACGTTGATTGAAAAGTTGGCGCCGAGCGAGAGCGACAGCGGCGGGGAGCCAGCTCCGACTACGTCACGGGAGCACGCCGCACGCAAGATTCTATGCTTCGCAACTTTAACATAGCTCTTAGTCTTAACAGTATGCTATCAGCTACAACATTTTTTTCATTTTGTGTGTGTTCCTCTACCTCGGACACATACCAACTAAACACCTCACAATATTCCGCAACCCTAGTTCACGGTACATGTTATCTATAACACTCGAATATTTAATGTAATTTCATACTACATGAACGATTTCCTCGATGGGCCTAGCACGAATATTTGCGACAAGCACCTTCGTATTGTCATCGGCAATTATGTCAATATTATTATGAGATTTTTGGTGTACTGTATGTTCGATGCAAATGTCGATGAGGATACGATGGCACTTGTCACAAATATTCGTGCTAAAGTAAAAGTTTTTGTTATAAAAATGTCATCGGAACGAAATCACGAAGTAATAAATAAAGCATTATGCGACGTGCCTATCCCAAAAACTTGAGCCATGGAAATGTCTGTCCCACATAGTGCCATGAAAAATGGTAGCCTGTGGTGAGGTGGTGGCGCCGCGACGTCGGGCCGCCATCGATCGTCAAGGTTACCGTCGGCTAACTCATGCTATAGCATATTCACACCTTACTAACTGAATGGGCTATCTATTACACAATAAGCTTGGATGTTCGTACTGAAAAAGAGATTAGTGAGTTAGGAACTTGTATAAAGCTATTTGACTTTACCTACACTTATGTAATCAGAGTACCATTTTAGGTACAACTTCACAAGAAATTGAACTTCACTGAAAATGTTTTAGACAAAGTTACAATGAATTACTTGGATAATTACAGTAATATTATACTTTACGATTAAATAAAAAAGTCAAAAAACTATTTTAATTTCGTGTACAATTTAAATAAGTGGTCGTATAAAGATTTCAAGATTAGAATTTAATGGATTTAGACCCAGTTTTCGCAACGATTGGATTAAAAAAATTATGCTACCATTTTATAATCCAATAGCTAAGGAAATATTTCAGATTTCCAAACCCGAGGAGCTAATGTTCTAGACTTCAATGTTAATACCTAGTCTCCATTCATTCGTTCAGTCGAATGAACGATTTGAATCTTCGGCAGTGTAAGTACAATAGGAACAAGTTAACAGCAAAGAAGAACGCAATAATGACCGTGAATGCACAAAGCGTGTTGATAAGTTATCAATAGCTAAGTAGGCGAGCGAAAGTACCCAGGAGATATTGGTGACGTCATAGTTTGGCCTTTAATTATTTCTAGTTACATGCAGTTTCCCCACATTAAACTTAGTAGCTTTGTGTATTCGCACAAAGTTGGGTCAATGTAATTGCAACGTGTTTCACAACATGTTGCGATGAGGTCTTTCCAGTAGTTGTTAGGTACAGCACGGAATAAGCATAGTGTTTTAAACATAGCACGTCGTTCAATGGCCGCGCCCGCTCTGAGCATGCTGAATCGATTTTTCAATAAAGCAAAAGGCATATGTCCTACATATAATATGATACGTTTTATTGGTGACTTCACATTTTTTATTAAGTACTTAATCTATCAGATACCCAAAGTGCTTCTAGTAGGAGATTCCATTTTTTTAAACTAGGTTATATATTAGAAAACATTAACTGTTATTTAACTACATTTATAAAGCAGATGACGAACTGAATCAGTTAATTGGTTACTGACGAGTTACAGAGATTCTTTATGTAGATCTATATCTAGCAGGGAGACCACTTAACGACTCTGAGTAAGTAAAGTAAATCAGTGGAAAATATTATAACATTGTCAAGTTTACTGGTACCCTACGTGGGAGCGTCGACCTACGGTAATTGGTCCACTCGCGCGTCAATTGCGCACGTTAGCGATGTGACGACAGGCTGTCATGTTGCTGACATGACAACGAGACCACCACTTGAGTGAGCGAATTGCCTGTTACTCGCACAAATAGAACATCATCCATGGCGGTTATAACAAGAATTAGACATCTACGGGGTTGTTTAGCAACATCTTTCAATAAAAGTTTACGATTATACTAGTTGTCGACCGCGTCAGTCCGTGTGGGGTTAAATAGATAATAAGTAACCTATGTGTTCATCCAGGCTATGTTCTACATCTATATTAAATTTCAGCGAGATCCATGTAACTGACCTGGAGATACCTTCAAACCATCGTCCATCCATCCATCTCAACTTTCGCATTTATAACATTAGTAAGATTTCTAGCCTAGTATTGGGTGTAGTACCCGACATTTGAGTTGTCACATCGCGTCGTCGAGATTAGTAGATTTGTTTTTAACATTCAAAACAAATTCCGGTTAATATAACAATAGCAATTTTCTAATTTTATCTTTCTTACACGTGAACAGAGTTATATCTCGTCGTATCCTTATGATTTATTAATATTAAAAAATTAATTGCTAACACTAGTTATAAAGAATCTGCAGCGATAGAGCAGGTGTGTAGCGGAAGTATCTTGCAGTGTAAAGTATGCGAACTGTCAGGTAAGAGCATCGATCGGGATGGGGATGGGGGGGTTCCGTGCAGCGTATCTGCCGGCCAGTCCGCCGCCTCTGACACAATTACAACATTTATCATTGGAATTTTAAGCCGCCTAATTAAATGATCCGTCTATTTCATTAAAACATTCCTATCGCAAGTATTTTTATTGCAAATTAATTGTTGTACGTATTAACGACATGAAATATTAATGAAAACACATAATAATTGATGGCAAATTAATTCGATTGGAATTTGCTAAACATGTATCCTTATTTGAAGAGGTGACAAAGATGCGACATAACTATGAATAAATTCTATCATCTTTTATGAAAACAATTTCTTCAAAAGTATTATATATACTTTTATATAACTTTATGTAATGTATAAATATATACTGACCTTCGCCATCAGTGGCGAGGGAGCCTGTAGGAAGCCGCTCATGATCTGTCCTCCTCGCATCCTCTGTGCTCTCGCCGTGCTCTGAAAACACAACCTTACATTAATATTGACAGATAAATCTTCCTAATATTATAAAAGCGAATGTTTAGATGGATGTTTGAAAGTATCTCCACAATGGCTCAGCGGATCTCGATGAAAATTGGCATAGATGTAGAACATAGTCTGGAGGAACACATGAGTCGTGAGCGACTTCTAGTAAGGATAAAATTTCATAACTGCAGTTATAATACCTCCAGAATACATTTTCGATATGTTTAACAACGCAATAGTTATCAAGTTCTAAATATCTTGATACAAAATGAGTGAATCAATTTGAAAGCTATCAAAAGCCGTACAATAAGTTATAAGTAGTGGGGATGGTGACCGTAGCCGGGGACCAGTAGATCAGGTCCGGCATGACATCATAGGGGACACCTGTGCGACCGACGGATGGAAGATGTTTATTTGATGCCTGCCGCGCGTTTTCATACTTGTTATACAAAAACTAAACGTCTATTATTATGTTTGATTTTGCATAATTTTTTATCTACTATTTTATACATATCAAATAAGTAGTTAAATTAATTATTTTCATATTAAATACAAAAGATGTAGTGATAAAAGAACAGAAAATCGGTAACTTTTGCAGTCTAGTATTTTTACAAGTAACAAAAATAACATAAGAGCGATTACTTGAGATTCTATTTAATATTTTTATAAGTGAACAATATAATCTTAATCAATTCTCAGCGTTGTAATGGTATTTGTAATTTGTAACGTAATGGCGGCGCGGAAACGTTACGCGTATCTACATAGATATGTGAGGTAGGTGTGTCCGGCTGTACATATTTAATGTGGACGTAGTTCGCATATGTGCCACCATTAGCATACTGGAGATCAAATCAAGGTTACATGCCGTCTACACGTCCAATGATAGACAGACAATCAATAAAACTACCGGTAATGTTAAGATTCAGCCGATATTTTACTTATAAATTATAAACGCACAAAAACATAAAGCCAAGTTGTTCTCTTGCTATAGTATTTTGCGATCGAAATGTTTTCTTCTTTTACTAACAAACAAGTTAAAGAATAAGTTGCCAGTGTTAGTGATTCCGTCATATTATGTGAGTCAAGAGAGATGTGCAATGCAAATCTAAATAATTTGAACCTTTATATCGTGTTGTGTTTAAATATAGTACTAATGAGAACGATATTTTAATTAGAATATAATAATATTTGATTGGTTAAAATGGCTATGGAGTAGAAATTGTCTAAAATGTATTTTGTAACTGGCAACATTCTTGTTCATTTGTCTATTCAAAATGTAGGAAGTGACATTGCGCATGTCTATGATCATATGTTATAAGAGCGAAGTGAGATAATTTAAATCATATCTCATATTGCAAATTATGCGCAAGTGTTTTGGCGCCAACAATCAAAACGTCTTAATTAACATTCTGACAGCAACATGGCGCCCGCAGGCGACAGTTATGGATAGGAATTTTCTGCCAACTGTTGTACCCTGTTCAAATAATATAGATTCAAGGTAAGATAACTATTGTAGGATTGTGTTCTTGAATTAAATTATAGGATATTGTAATAATTCCAGTATAAAGAACAGATAGAAAATTACTAAAGAAATTTTTGAATTTAAATTCATTATAAATGGGGCGAGCCGTTTTGAAAACAAAGAAAACCTAATATCACATAATATGTTCATAACGTGAACGGTTATACGCCATTAGGTATGGAGAGATTATTTCTCGCAACAGCAATTATTCAAGTAAAAGCAGCATTAGGGCATGGCAACATATCAAATGGCTGCTTCTAGTCAGGGTTGCCAACATAAACTATCGCGCACGTGGAAGCGATGTTGCCATAACAAATGCATTTCACACGAGCACTATGTTTGTTAACAACGGAAAGTGGACTTAGCAAAACATATAAACATAAAGCGGCAACACTAAAACAATATCCGACATTATGACCTTTGCAATATTACTTGCGTCATATTGTTACATGGTTTAGTGAAATTAAGTTCCTTTATATATCTTTAGTTTCAAAGGGTTTATCACGAATATTTGTGAGAATATTTACGAAATGTTTAGAATTTATGCGACGCCCCTATTGGGCGTAAAGTTCTATACAAATTTTGTCGATGGCGTTAAGAACTTGATGTCATAACTGTCACGCAAGTACTCATGATAGACCCTTAGGTACTTGGAAAGATATTACAGCATAAAATAAGTACACGGAGATGAAGACTTAAAAGTATTAGTGTATTACAGCTTCGAACAATATCATTGAAAGTTGATCGGAATTTAATACAAGTGTTGTAAGATTGTAGTGAAAGTTACTAACTAGTATGAAATATGGGAAGTAGTGACGTGTGACTACGAGTACGCATCGCATGCCTGCGAGCCGTGCGGGGCGGAGCGGGGCCGTGCGGAGTGCAGAGGCTCGCGCGCCTGCACCCGAATACTTGAAAGCTCAATGACACCGACGCAACACCTACTTACATCTCACGTGACGACAACGATACGTTATGTTATAATGCATTCATATTTATATTATGTTCTATTGAGGCAATTTTAACATGTTGGAAACTCACTTTATATAATTGTTTGATTTACAAGGATCTGTTACGTTTTATGTTGCGGTCGCGGTAGACTAATTTGAGTTACTAAATGCGACGATGCTCGATTTATTTTGTATGAAAACTCGAATTAATATTGTTAATATTCAATCATTCTCTTTGAAAGTCAATAATAAAACGTTTAAAAGATTTACGAGATATAAATAACTAAAATATAAATGTATTTCTCTGTCAGTATAAATGTCTGTGTCACTTGACACAGTGGAGGTGCGTTTGGTGCGGGCTGCGTGTTTACAAGCGGTGTTCATATCACTGTGGCCTCTTATTTCCTTGAGGGAGTCCACTCCCGTTTGAATTTATGTATTGTCTATAATATCATAGTACTTTCTCTTCATCATACAAATTAAAACTTATTTGAACTTCGTTTAATCTTTGCGGTATAGAAGAAAGATAATCATTCTACAAATATTAGTTAAAAACGTGTCCGTTAAGATACGGTATTTACAAATTCAAAGCAAAAAAAACAATAATTTGCTTTAAAAATAAAAGATTTATGTGCAAGTCAAACTGACTGTCCGTCTGAAAGTTATTTACTGTTCGTTGCAAATGATTAACTCGAAATTAATTAAGTCAATTAATTCCCTCGCTTCGTATAACGAGATCGTATCTTGCCTTTTTTTTCTTATAAACATTAACAGTAAATTTCCGTCCAATAAATTTCCACTATTTTGATAATAAAATAAAGTCATAAAATGTTCCGAGAAATGACCGCATCGTGATTAATCTTCCGACTCCTCGTTGACGAGGTTTTTTATTCTGATTCGAGGATATTCCGCGTGTACGTATATCATTTTTATCGCCATAATTCAGAACGTAAAGTAATGTAATTAAAAATTTCACACTCGAGCTTCACTTCACTGTAACAAGTTGGTAAATACAAATCTTGTGTCCTCATTGTGTGTTCTATATGTTTATCTAGAATAACATATAGAATTAAATTTTGTTAAATTTATATCTTATCCTCATCAAATATAAGCGATGCAGCTTTGTTTAAATATATGGTAATCAGGTAACGATTGCGTAATATTTTAATTAATTAGCAGTAGATATAAATGTATTGTGAATAAACAAAATAGATCGATATCTATCTGATTCACACTGCTTTTGGTACAAGAGTTTATCAACTTGAATAACATTTAAAATGGTAGCTACAGGTGGTCACCTCACCTCCCACAGGAGGGAGGCAGCGAATAAATCTCTGCAGCAGATAACTGGCCCCCACTATAAAACGTCTCCGCTCAATCTGGTGTAAATCACGCGACTACGCGACGCCGCCGCGCCGCCGACGAGGCGAGGTGGTGCGAGGGGGGCTTGAGCGCACGGGGCACTATACCCATTGGCGCCACTTATCCGAAATGGGCGCCAGTCGCCAGCTTCCTTCGGCATTCGCTTTGTGTTGGAAATTGTTTGATTAATCATCGAAATGTCTCCACTTCCACCTCCGCTCCGTAAGGATTGATTTATAATCGAGTAAATCGACAAATGAATTCCGGTATTGGTTATACAAGGCTTGGAAAACAAAACAGTTTATTTAAGAAAATTAGTAGTAAATGATCTGATTAATTACTACTATGTGTACGAGTGAACTTAACAGATGTACAAAGATGCTAGCGCATTAATTATACATACATATTAAGGTCTGCATTCTTTATATCACTTTATATATGTAAATATATATTGGTAATGTACAATACCAGTACCTTGTATCAAGTGGGGAGTATTTAAAGTGATGGAAACCTTTTGATAACGACACCAAAGTGTTAATGCATGTGTTATCGTGGAGGTCTCGAGCGAGTCCGGCGCGGCCGCAGCCACTAACAAATTGCTGAGACACTCGCTTATACTGATATTTGAACACCATATTACACTAATGGTCGCTGATTAAGGCTTAAGTTGAAATATTCTTAATGCTTCAAGTTTAGTGAATAAACAGAGAGAGAGAGAGAGAGAACATTAATTAAAAGCATGCATTGCGGATGGGTAAAGCGTTACCAGGTAGCTATTACGTTTGCTTATCAGTGTGATATAATTGATTGCGGGACATTGTGTTAAAAATAGATAGGCTATCGCATTAGCAACCGCGTTGTGTGACAGCGCACTGGACGACCGCATGCAGTAAGCCGACATACAAACAAACAAGCACTACAAGACCAGTATAAAGAATTAAAGTTCGAAATTATACGCTTCACACATACGGGTAATTTGCTTGATTTGGTGATTAAAACATTACAAAACAAATAAAGACTTTGAAAATGTATGCATAGTTTTATAAATGTAGATTTCCGAAGAAATACAAAAACAATGTAAACATAATGTACAGAAATCGGTGAACTCATCACAGAAATAAGACATTTCGAAGCAGTCCATAAAAGATCGGAAAGAAGATGATGCCAGAGAGCTGCAGTAACTCCGTCTCTGTGAGGGTGTGTGGCGCAGGCAGAACGCACGCGGAGAGCGACAGCCGCGTCGCCCGGCCGGCGCCGGCGCCCCGATAACATTCCGATAACGTTAATGGATACGCGCGTTATCACCGCACGCCCGATACCAAGCCGAATCACTTAAAAACAAGCCGCTCTCGAAGCAAAAACACCCGAACACCCTTGCCCCTAACACCGATTATCCCCCGCCGTGAATGACCTGCACCGGTCAATGGGTTCCGAGAGGCACGTGAGAAATTGTACTGTGCGGACATCAGGTAAACTACGCGTTTGTTGAATGAAATCTCCATGAAAGTCCATTTTTATTTAAATGCTAAGAAATTTACAAAAACATCTTTGTGTTTTTATTACGATCACGACTCTAAGTTAATACAAACTCCATTAGCTTTAAATGCATATTCAAACATACTTCCTTATTATAAAATAATTTATCTTATTAACTTATTTACGACTATCAGTCTAAAACTCTGGCGCCAATCAGTAATTCAGTCCAATGACTTCCCCTCTTGTCTTGTCATCAGGTAAATTTTCAAATTATAATTATAATTTATGCGAATACATTTAAATAACTGGGGGTGGAAAAAAAGGAGTCATGTTTTAGGCATGGCAACAAAAACATTTACAAAACTCAGGCCTGATAACTATCAAAGAACATTACAGTGTCAATTAAAAACTAAATGAGATATTAAATAGTCGGCTTATATGCAGTAAATCAGCGAAATTTGTCGATGTCACGGTTGATAAGGGAGGGGTGAGTTAAGGAGGGTTATCACGCGAAGACAAGCCTCACGAGTAGGGTATGGGAAACCCTATGATGAACCTGGAGGGAATCCCGAAGGCGAACCTCACGCGCATTGATTATGGCGGGATTTCCTGTGACGTGCTGCAGGTTCCCGCTCCTGGTTAACATGCAGACGATCAGGGATAAGCCATTTACACATTTTTGACAACGTGCCAACATTTTGTAACGAAATTTTACCTCTTTTAAACTTGCAATAAAATTGCAAACGTCCAAAGAAGACGTACAAGGTTCTTCCCCAATTTATACAATAAATTTTACGTAATTTTATTAACGATTTAAGTAACATATTTACTGAATAACAAACGTAACCTGCGTTCACACTGGAATTCTTACAAATCTACTTAAATATCATTAAAACAATATTGTAATTACAGGAAGCAAGTAATATAGAGGTCTTCACAAGTCCGGATGCACCACTATACCCACAAACTGTAAATAACAAGATGAATTCACTTCTTAAGGAAAAATCGTACAAATAAAATGCTACAGAATTGAAAAAGTTTTCAAATATCTATAGAATACATTTTAATAAATGCATTTGATGAATTAATGGGGAAAAGATATAGGAAATGGTAAATCTTAGTTTAATAACATCCAAATACCAACGTAAATATACATCTGGCAAACGAGATAAAATATGAAAGAATTCGAGATTATGCAAAGAGGTTTCGTAGTCCAAAGATTATAATATGTGTAAATAGGTAAGTATTGCTCGTGGGAATAAAATTTAGACAAATAAAAGGCAAAGTATTTTCAAATCGCTCAATCAGTCAATTGTCATCTAAGCTCTTAAGTTGAAAAGGTCGGCAAATAAGGCTCTTTATTAAAAACAAATACATGGCGGCAGTTGCTTTAAGGAAGAGAAAAAAAGGCCAGTGTTTGCCGCGCCCGCGCCCGCCGCCCGCCGCGCCGCGCCGTAAGCATTAATAATGTAGTTAAAAGATGGCGGCCGGCGTTGGAATGCGCGCGGGACCAGCTCCGCTAGGGCTGTGCCTGCCGCTGACGCACATCTGCTAGGGCTGTGCCTCTCCATCACTGACAACGCAACTTACCACGTTAGATTGCAAATTAAATTGAACCAGATCGTATTTCCAAGCAGATCAACAAAAATCATTTTAACACTACATGTTCTATCCCCGGGATATAAATAACAATACTGTATGCCTAGTATTAAACATTTTTGAATTAAGCAATTCCGTGTGACAGATTATGCATAAAACATACGCAATTTAGAAATCTGACACAACCAAACAAGGCTACACGACATGTAGAGGTTGCCTACTTTTCTTTAAATGTATACGTACAAATAACTTATGTCATTATACATGTCCTTGTATGAATAATTAAAATGATGTGTGACAAGAAAACATTTAATCTCAATTTATACATTGATTGATTAGTGCGAGCGATTTAACTTCCTGCATAATGTCATCCATATCAACAGGACCAAAGTCATCAATGTTAGTCCATTTATTTAACACTCTTTTATATATACAGATGATCATATCTCATGGTATATTACGATTACGACACATCTAGCAACTTGACTTCTTTGAAATAGCTAGCATCTTGTTCATCTATATCATCACTTTACAAAACTGGCCGATAGAAATAACTTACGTGTTAAACAAAGGTAAATTTACTCAAATCTAGTTGATTTTGAGATAAGTTTTTTTTCAATTTCCTACGGTGATATATCGACAAAAAGGTACATCACTAGCGATCCCTAATTTCCAGGAAGAGCGCCGGGCTCGGGCGCCGGCTCTGGTCCGGATTCCTCAGTCCCGCGCTTTTCGACGCCGCTCATCGTCTATATCTCGTATCGAAACAACTAAATCTTCATATTAACGTTATATCTCTTATCGTTGATTTCCGAGACCGAAATCCCCGTATAAAACATATTGTTATCCCTGTTATGTCAAGGATAACGAGAGGGATGACGATATGTTTTATACAATGATTTTAGTCTCAGAACCCCACGATTAGTTAAATAGCTTTCATATGTTTGATTAACCCGGCGTACACTAACCAAAACAAAAGTTAAGAATACGTTTTTTTTTAATTTTATGAGTACAAGTTATATAAAGCGGACAATTTTAGTGTCTTGTTTTTACTTTTAAAGTATTTAATTTCTTAGAAGTCATCAGCGTGGTAGTGGCAGGGCATCGTAAACGCGGTTTTAGTGTCAGTTCCTATGAATAAGATGAGTAATATTGAGGTAGACGTAATAAGGGCGTAAAGAAAGGTACTTAAAAAGACAATATAAAATGTTATTAGCTCACCTTTAGGCTTCACGTCGTCCATCACGAAGCGACTGTATGGTGGAGGGGGAGTTTCTGTAACAACACACAATATATTATTATTTTTATCTATAGTTAAACTAAAATAATGACATTACTACAATTATTTAAAAAATAGAGAAAATCCACAAAATTGAACAAAATAAAAAACACTTGAAATTTTCTACGCTTCTTCAAAACGCGTCTCGCAATTGCGTAACAGAACCTTGATATCGGCTTAATTAAGAATAAACACCATACTTTTTAAATTATATAGAACATGATTTTCGATTCCCGCAAAAGCAAAGCAATCAACAACCGCGTTACTCCCGCAGGTCCAAAAAACGAACAAACCCTAAAACAAACATCACATAACCGGACCAGGTAAAATACCAAATAGCAATTAGGCTCGACCGTTCGCTGCGCGGACGGACAACCTATATTATCTGCATTTTGTCTTTTTATATATAATTGCCGGGATTCTAGCTAATCTGCGGCAGACAATAGACGTTTGTTACATATATCAGATACAAAATTGAGGTTATAATAATAATTGTGAACTATTTGACTGCAGAATTATATCTTGAGTATATCATTATGCGCGGCGAAAATTTGTGTAAATTAAAAAAAGGATGTCTCACTAGTTAAGTATGTGATTATGTTATTTTACATACAATGTTTAAAATTTTTAAGATTACCATTCAAATCTCATGGTTTTCAAGATTGAGTTAAAAATAGTTAACATTTTTATTGATGGGATCAATTTCTACAATAAAACTGGCAACATCGGCTTTGGTATTGAGTATTGAATATCAAGGTATCGAGTACTAAGTACTAGACAGCAAGTACCTTGTTGGCGCGGCAGTGCTGGCGGTCCGACATTCACATTCCGCGCGTACGAACCGCGCCGAAAATGTTGTCGTTTGAATCCGGAACGCGCTCTATTCCATTTACGAATGAGCCGGCACGCGCTATTGGTCATTTCGAATGCCATCATTATTTTTGAATTCCGAATGCGGCGTGCATTTGCGATTCCGGCGCCGGCGGGGGCGGACGTGTGAAGTCGTTCCTCTTACTGTTCGACATTACGCGAATACAAATCGCGCCGTCGCTCGTTGAATTCAATAAGATTTTATGACGTACCGCTCTGTGCCTTGAACGCAGAAGTGTTTAACGGCACTTGCGCAAGAAATATCTAAACAATCGGTGCATTCGCCCGCATACCAAAGAGTTCGACGATTTTGGCATAAAGGACGCCGTATTTATTTATAATACACGAGTCTTGCGTTCAAGAACCCTTCTGCATTAAGCAAAAACAAAAGACAGCTCATTGTAATTAGTCTGAAAGCGAGAATAGTGAGAGGACAGCATACAATGCTACATGCACTACTTAATAATTACAAATGTCCTTTGCGGTAGACATGAACAAGCCCGAAATGGTCGGTCAAATAACATTGTCAGAGTATTAAGAACAACGCAACAATGATTCACACATTGCAATGCATACCGTACGCAAAGACAGCCACTGAAAAACGACCGAGCAATGAAAGTAAATGACCCTAAACGCCTAGCGCGCCATCTAGCTACTGGCAGATATAAATAATATCAGTTGTTGACTTCAGTGAGCGCCCTGCATATAACTTCAATTATAGAAATACCGACCATATTGCTTAAAACATAGAACATCATTTCATTCAACACACAACATACATACAACCTTATTACTCTGGAATGACTACATAAATATTATACGTATAAAGTGGCGTGACTGAAATTTCTTTCATAACTACTAAGACATATGTTAGCGGTATGGTTAAAACAAAAAAAATCCCTGTCGCAATTAAAATAAAGTGCAGTTTACTTTGCTAATTAGCGTTGTTGCTTTGAACCAGTGGTCAAAGTGAAATGTGTTATACACGAACAGTCGACGGTTCAGATTTCAACACGCGGCATCGACCTTTCACAATCAATCGATTAATTAACAATTTTAATACAATAAAACTACGGTATAAATTCAAATGACAATTGGAATGTAACAAAAATAAGGCTATCGAAGCTTTTAAATAACTGCAACGTAATTAAGCTTTAATCAGTTTTGTTTGAAAATTTCTAGTTTATTGGATCAATGTCAAATAGGATTTTAAAACCTACCTTAAAATATGATTTCGTATGTAATTCGTAGTACGATATTGTTGTTACTTGTAAAGTAAAATAAACTTTGTCTTTGAAGCAATATCGCGGAAGTAGATTCATCAATATGTTAACATATTTTTTTAAATTTACGCTTGTAAAGTGTTTCTATGCTGATAAATGCCAGTTGATTTCATTATAATATTAAATTATGGCTATAATATAAAATTAAAATTATGCAGTGTTTTATAAAATAAGTTAAAAAAGACTATAAAACTTATAAATATAATAATGAATTCTCTCAAATTGTAAGATCTGTGAGAAACTGTTCCTAGCGTCAACAAAATTTGTTTTACATTAGGACATAGCCCTAGTAACATATCAGGCGTAAAGTAAATAAAGTGTCATACTTTTATCGATGACGTTTCAAGTATATATCACAAACTTTTGTGCTAGGCCGCCTTCTTGTCGTGAGTGAAAAATTGTGCAAAAAACAGGCAAATGTTTTTACTCACGGCATCAAGTTTCGCTAGGTCATACGACCCTCAAAACATACGAAAAACCCGGCATGTACCCGGCAATAACAAAACTAGAACTATAAGTTGGAAAAATAGTAAACAAACAGCAAATCAGGTTACCTAGACCATTACTCAGTCGCTGAAATACTCTGTTTAGGCATAAATAGACATTATAAAAGAATGAAACAATTTCATATTAGAATTATGCCATATACTATTACAATCAACACTTCTAGAAGTTAGTAGAGAGTAGAGGAGTAATAGTAGTCTAAAAGTGAGTATGGGAAAAATCAACGAAATTGCATGAAATCTAATAAAATGATTTAAAGTAAACAACACTAGTCTTTTGTAAGTAAAGCGATAAACTGATGTCTTTAAAATGACAATAGAAGTTGTGAATTAGCAACGCTATTTGTTGCGACGTTTTTATAGACAAAAAAACTACTCTTATGTCGGTTCGGCGTTGGTGATGGCGGTCGGAACGCGTGTGAATCGACCAAAATAGCGGGCCGGCCGAATTAAAGCGTCAGCCGGCGCCGGCGTCGGCCGCGGCGCCGCCCGGACGCCGCGCCGGGCCCACGCGCGATCCACGTCATACGCGCCCAATGTTGCATCCACACATTATGTGCCAACATGCCAACACAATGTGAACGATATCATTGACATATACTTTACGACATATCAAAAACAAACCCATGGAATATATAGGGATTCCAAATGCACAGTAAACTTGGAAAAACTGTTAAGAAATAAATCTCAAATGCACGTCATTAGTACGATGATTAAAGTTATAAAACAACTAATATTCATTTAAATATGAAATGAAAAAATGACACGTTAAAAAACCATGTTCATCATCGCAACATCAATCAACAAGTAATTATTGTCATTTATCTAACTAAATGACCTTTGATTTGATTGTACGATAACTAAGCGTAATAAAACTTAGTTACCTAGTATGTGCTTGTATATTAGTAACAAAGTTAAAGAAAAATATTTAATGAATTGGACATATTGTATTGGCAAACATTGGCCAACATACCAGCAAATACACACGGTTGATTCATAGCAGTGAAACGTTAAATTGCTAAAAGATGCCAATATATAAAACAAAGCTGTATAACCAAACTAAACTACATATCTGTAAAATTCCCATAAGAATTTCAAATATAGAAAATATAGACTGATCAAAATATTAGTAAACAAAAATGAAATAGGTTAAAACAAAAGAAGATTTATATAAAGCGATTACGATTTAAGTATTGTAAAATAAATGGATATATCCCATTATAGTGAACGGATTGTTGACGCTATCATTTCTAGATGTCACAACGCGTCAGAAGATGAGTATGCGGCATGATGGATGTGTCAGGCTGACCACGTCTGTGTACGTTCCTCTCTACGCTATATTTAAAGTAGGCGGGGATTGTATCGCCAATTGACACACCTCACTCGCTCACCAACTGAATATTCATCCAGCGCCGTCTCACTCGCACGCCCTTTATGCTAACTACAGGAATTGTCTGGATATCACCACAGACACACACAATGTATGTTTCACTACGATAATAAAGTTAAACACAATATCATTTTCATCTTAAAACTTTAACCAAAAAATGCTATGAAAATACTTAAAAACAATGAAGTAAATATACATTTTGAAGAATAAACTACAAGTTAACCATCACAAAATACATAGTCTACGGACATTAATTTCCTACCCATTGTCATTAAAAATGTCATACAACCAAGTTGGGAAGTTATTAAATTCCTTGACTGTAGATGTTTACAACATTGATAGACAAACAGAGTGCGTGTGCGATGAATTGCGATCGGTCATTGAAATTGTAATTGCGAACCGATGCCGGTTCCGCCTGCCAGACCGCCCTCTCATTACGTCCGATAACGAATGCCTAGACATACACACGAGCAAGCCTAATAACATCTCTATATACAACATTCATACAAACTGTCAAACTGACGTTAAATCTGACAAAAATAACAATTTTTAAGCAAATAATCTTACTAACATAAATGCAAATTTTTGAATGGACTGATGGATGTTTATTAGGTGTTTCTGAATTCGGCATAGACGTATAACATAGTCTCGAAGAGCCCATAGGCTACTAATTAAGTTTTTTTTTTAAGTACTCGCGTTCGGAGTCGCGGACAGCTAGTCCTTAATAAATTTTAATTTCTTATCAATTTAACCTAACGTTTATCAAGTCTTGTCTATTTTATTGAGCAGATAAAATACCTTTAAATATTATCTAAGTCATAAAAAAGTTAAGTCTTATGATATTTGCAAGCTATTATATATTCGTATCATACTGAGACCTAAATATATTCTTTAAAAGGTTTAGTTACCACAGTATTAAACAGTAGTGAACTGACTCTTCTATCTATTGC